AGATTCAATACTGGTTTAGGGCATCTAATGATAGAGATTTGGGAGTTTAGAAGTAGCTTCATACTCTTAAGCATCACAATTGTGGAAATCCTTTTGACAGAAGCTACGCTCGAGACATTCTAACGGCGTGCCAGTTCAAAAGCATTTGCATTATTGATATTTGAAGACGCCTACTCTTTTGTTCTTTTACTGTTTCCAGTTAAAAGTTTGCCATTTAGTTGCCTAAAATTCTTTGTATTTATATAAATAAAGAGATGTCTTTTCTTGATAACTTCCCTTTTGCAAACATCTTATGTTGAAAGGTTAAAACATATAGCTTAACTTGAAGTACATGAGATCATTTTGTATTATTGTGCAAAAGATTTTGGAAAATGCAGGTATTCTGAAGTTGACAATGGTTTAAACATGTAAGCTTGTGTGGCCATGGGAAACTAAAATCCTCAAATTCAAAGAAAATCTTAGCCATTAAAAGATGACCCAAGGAGGTTATCATTGGTCGAGAAGTTGGTCAGGGATACTGACGGGTTTCAAGAAAGAAATAAGTCAAGGTACTGTTAAGGCGAGAGATATGGAATTGAGATTGTCAACTGGGGTGAACTGATCAAACGTTCTGTGCCCAAGATGAAGCCGAGTTCCATCGAGATCAAAAGGAGATAGAGTTCCTACAAAGAAGAAAACACATTGAATTGCATAATTGCATACATTTTAGGCATGAGTAGGATCATGGCATTCATAATCGCATGATGGCTTAAATATCTACAGGTTTCCCAGGGATAGTTGAAGATTGAAGATATGAAAGCATCGAGGTGAAGATAACTGGTTTGACCTTTGAAGCGAATCATCTATAAGCCTTCACGAAAGAGTAGTGAAGCAAATAAGTTCGTTGAAGATTGAGTCCTATACTCTCTGAATGAATAGGGAGCGGACAAGTTCGTTGAAGATTGAGTCCTATACTCTCTGAATGAATAGGGAGCGGACAAGTTCGTTGAAGATTGAGTCCTATACTCTCTGAATGAATAGGGAGCGGACAAGTTCGTTGAAGATTGAGTCCTATACTCTCTGAATGAATAGGGAGCGGACAAGTTCGTTGAGGATTGAGTCCTATACTCTCTGAATGAATAGGGAGCGGACAAGTTCGTTGAAGATTGAGTCCTATACTCTCTGAATGAATAGGGAGCGGACAAGTTCGTTGAAGATTGAGTCCTATACTCTCTGAAGGAATAGGGAGCGGACAAGTTCGTTGAAGATTGTTCGAGTTCTATACTCTCTGAAGGAATAGAGAGCGGACCCGTTTTATGAAGATTGCTCGAGTTCTATACTCTCTGAAGGAATAGGGAGCGAACACGTTTGTTAAAAATTGAGTCCTATACTCTCTGAAAGAATAGAGAGCGGGCCTGTTTATTGAAGATTGTTCAAGTCTTATACTCTCTGAATGAATAGAGAGCAGACACATTTTATGAAGATTGTTCGAGTCTTATACTTCCTGAAGGAATAGGAAACAGACTCGTCATTTGAAGATTTTTCAAGTCTCACTTATCCCGACGTAATATTGAGTGGTTTAATCTTTTGAAGTTCTCATGACCGGACAAATTCGATCATCTTTTGATCTTTGTTCTATTCTCGTTACACGACAATGAGCAAAGAGGGGCAGCTGTAGATGCTCGTTTCTGTCCGGGGCCAAGTCGGAGCAGACCCGAAGCAATGAGAGCCCAGATGAGCCCAAACCAGATGAAGGTCCAGCTCAAGACCAATTGACAGCAGTTGGATGCAGAAAAAGAAAGAGATCCAGGTTGGTTTTTAGCAGTTGGAATAATTAGATAGTGGGGAATTAAAAAACTGTAAAGGGTCAGTTTTGAGGGGGTTTTAACCACTAGAAACTATCAATCATAAAAAGGCATAGAAAAGGGAGGAGAAAGACAGGAAAGGGGTCTCCATTTTTTTTGCTCGTTGTTTAGTGTTACACGACAGAATAGAAAAAAAACAGTGAATGTAAACACCATTTTTTCCCTGGTATTCAAAGATAAAAACGGTTGTGCAAAAAGAATTCTAAGATCAAAGGAAACAAATGAATCCCCTCATTTTCGTCGAATCAAAGCAATACACAAAAGCAAAAAGGGTATGTATTTTATTTTCATTTTCCATTGCTTTCATAATGTTCTTGTGTGTATGTGTTTCGAATCGAAACCAAAACAGAAGCATGCTTACCTTAGATTAAAGTCATTTCCAGTGCTTAAACATGTGTATTCATTTCAAAATCAATGAAAAGTGAAAATCATAGAAAATGAGATTCATCCGTCAACTTCTATTGATCTATTAAAAAAACCAAAGGGATAAGCTTAGTGATTAACCTTTGTAAATTACTTGTACTGCTGGAAATGTAAGTCGAGTAGAGAGTGTTGTTGGGGTACCACCGGAATTGCGGGTCGATAAGATAAGAACCTAGAGACATCGGTTGTTAGTTTTTCTAAGATTGTTGTTACTGTTAATCCCATCTTGTTTGATTTAAAGGTTTAGATAAGAGAGGAAAGGGAACGTTTACCTTAGAGAGTCTCAAGGTCGCCGGAGATGGAAGCGTGAAATGACCAATCATCATGCAATAAGAGGAGTGGCAGCCGGTCTTTTTTTTTTCTGGTCTGCAATTACGTGAGATGAGTGGAGAGGCTTGAATAATGGTGATAGATGAGAGTGACGCCGAGTGTGTGCGTGAGAAGGAGATAAAGGAAGATTTGGAGAAGAAGAGTGAAGTGTGCGGCTGGGTGGGTGTTGTGTGCGTGAGTTTAGTTTAGGTTTAGACAAATGTAAGTTTCATTTTAGATATTTAGGGTAAATCAGGTTTCCAGTCCCTAATTTTAAGACTACTTTACACTTTAGTCACCTTTAGGATTGCTTTTAAATTTAATCCTTTGTTTTTGTCTTGATTTAGTTATTGTCTAGTTTTTAGTTTTAATTATAATTTTGTTAGATTATTTGAGTGTAGATTCTTCATATATGCACATGTTCCATTTTAATCCATACTTTAGTTTTAATTTGTATGTCAAATTTTACATTCATTTAACTTTAGTCACTACATTGATGTATATATACACTTTTTAAAATTTATAGTTTAGCATGTTATGATTTTATTTTTATATTTGAGTCACATTTTGTACATTAGGCGTTAATATGCGTAATTTATGGTTTTTTAATTAAAAGATATGTACATAATTTTTTGTATATCACATTGTATGCTATTTTTTAATTTTGTTTAATTAATTTTGGCATGACATACTTTTTGCATAATTCACATGATAGCCTCATTTGCATAACTCGACATATCATAATTGGATTAAGGGTAATATACTTTTAATTTAAAATTGTTTCAAGAGGGCTGTCATAACTGATTTGAAGTCCGCTTCTAATGATTTTAAATTAAAAGTGTATCCCGAAAGTGAAACAAAAAAAAATTGATTCGTCACCTAAAATTTGGGAACGAGAGAAAAAGAAATGTTCGTTTATTTAAATATATCGAGAAAAGGTTGTTATATCTTTAAGATCTGGTCTCGATATTTGTAAATAATCGAACATTCTTTATCTTTCTAAAACGACTCGGTAATTTTAATTTAATTTATTTGAGTGCTTTTGAATGTTTTTTAACTTTACATCATTGTTTTATTGGATCAAAAATTAAATTAAATTTGAATTTGTAAAGTTCATTGCAAAGACGTTAATTAATCGGCTAGGTACCGATTTAGGGCGTTGTGGGGGTGCTAATCCTTTCCCGCACGTAACCGACTCCCGAACTCGGATTTTGGTAACGCAGACCTTAATTTGTTGTTTTAATTAAAATTAATTTTTATTTAAAATAACAAGCATTTTTGGTTGCCCAATCACACCTTAATCAAAGATTGGTGGCGACTCTTTGAACTGTATTTTTCTATCGTAAAGGAAATCCAAAATTTTTCGAAACGAGAGGTTTTTAAATCGCATATGTTTTTAAATTAAAAATCAATTGAAAGAGGTAAATTAAAAATTAATGTGGTTTTTAAAATCTCACCTTTAAAAAAAAATCGTTTCGACACTGATCAAACCCCAACTCCAACTCTCCTTTCCTCTATCTCTCTCACCCGTTTTCCCCTTTCCCGCTTTATGTTTGAAAACAGTCGGTTAAATCCAACTCCAAATCCTTCAATTCCATGAACAAAAAATGCCAGGACTAACCGATCATCAGTTGGGCAAGTGGGATAAAGTATTAGATCCGTTAAGTAAGGTCAAGAGTTTTGATTATTGGCATTTTCAACTAGAATAATCTGAGTTGGGAGGGTTGCCCTCGTCTCTGTATTATCCGATCTGGATTAGTCAATTAATAGATGAGATATTGATGGTTATACCAAAAATGCTAGGACTAATGTGGATAAAAATAAATAAATTCAGAGACTAATGTGAACCAAAAAATTATAAACTAACAATGTTAAGAGGAAGGAGATTTGTATTACATAATATTAATTCAGAGACTAATATGGTCCCAAAAAATTTCAGGGACCAATGTGAGATAAGTCATCAAATTCCAAGACTAAATCATGCTTTGTCATCCAAAAAAAAAGAGGAAGATTGTGAATTCAGCTACGTAAATGTAATCCAAATAGATAAGTTGGAGGTTCCAAAGAGCTGCAGTGTGCATGGAAAATTCAAGCGGACGAAATTTGATTCTGTTAGGCACTGGGAAATAAGTCCAGTAACATTAGAGGCTTATGTTTGTGTATCAACCCTGAGAGAATTTACAGTGCAAAACTCAACAACTCGCCCAATACATAATGTTATTAGCCTCTAACTGACCACTTCTGTGTGTATACACACGAAACCGAAAAGTCATCCATGTATCGACAAGCTACCAGGTCACCGAAACATGGAATCTACACCTCACACGAAACACATGTATTCATATAATCAAGCATGCATGCATGTGTGTTTGTGCAACTGAAAGCTACGAGTTGTTAGCAAGCTAACCTGCTGCATCTTTTCTCTCTCTCAACCTGGCGTTCATATGTTATTATGCAGTTGGGATAGCAGTTGCTGATTTGCAAGTGCGAATGCCATCGTAAGAGCTACTGAGATTAACACCCTTGGATCCCACATCATATGTCGAAAGCAACCTCCTCTGCATTAATTTATACAAGTAATCGGTTCAAATACGAACTGGAACATGGTTTAGACATATACTGTCTTACGTGCCAATAAGAGGGAAAAGAACTTACATGAACCTCAAACTCGGGGCTCTTCAAATTGTGAGCAAGGTTTTTCATCAGCATCACCACCTGCAAAAAGAGCCAAACAACGCTCATTCAGTTGACCATAAGCTTTTAAGCAACGGTGAAGCCTCTACCTCAAACACACACCCGACCAATATATTTTTTTTCTTTTTCAGAATATTAACATCATATTGGGTGACATACTGTTTCAACATTTATCGGGTCCATCTCCTTCAGTTTCTGCTAGTGCCCACTTGCACTGGGGTCAAAGACACTGCCAATGAAAGCATACACCTGAGAAAAATCTGGCAAAACTGCATCAAATAGAAAGCAGAGTTTATGAGTTAAAGGAGAATCCATGATGTGAATCAAAAAATATTAACATCAAGAAAGATTTTGGTTTATATAGTGTTCCTAGTACTCCGGTGCGAGAATAACACGGTCCGGTAATGTCAGTATCAAGCTCAAAGTGGAAATAAAAATACAAACCTCTAGATTGCTTCCCATGATCCCCTCGGGCAATTGTTTCACCAACTGACCAAGTTCTCGGAGTGCTTTCATTACTACTACTATAACAAGTGTTGGGTGCCAGATTTGGTCCGGAAAATATAGCATCATCTAAAACAATACAAGATCCATATGTTATTATACTTTTGAGATTCGAGAGGAAGAGAAAAAGAAGAGGACACAAGAAAGTGCAGGAACAGTTAAAACCTTTAGTGGCTTGAGACATGGTGAAAGGCGGCAGAGAGTCATAACTCCAGGAAGGCCAAGCTGGCTTGGTAATTGGATTTCCGAGCACAGATGATGAATCTGGTTTGTAGGTATAATCATATTCAAGCAATGCAGATGAAGATTGAAACGGTACTTCGACTTGGGGTACAATGCAACTGCGACGAATGCAGACATTACCGAGGGTCAATTCAAGATCAACAACTGATCAAAAAAGAATACAATGATACCGAAATGGTTGCCGTATACCTACCATTTTTCGGTGCTTTTTGTGGGTAGGGGTGGGCTGCTTTCCTTTTCGGCCGAGGAGGCACATGTTCAGCTGTCCAATTTTTCTGAGCCTTTAGGAAATACTTTTGGGCATGGCTACGGATCTGCCAAGAGCATCCATTTAAGTTTTCAGTGAAACATAGCCAACTAGCTGGTGAAGAAATCATAACATTTTCTTTTAAATTACCTGGATTACTGTCTTGGACCCAACAAATGCTTCAATCTTCTTCCAATCACAATCAAATCTAAAAGTTGGTAAATTGATCAGTAAAAACTACAACAGCCTATATATATATATAGCGCAATCATCCAAGAACTGGCTGCTACCCGTATTCACAAGAAAAGCCCCTAAAGGGAAGTACCCCAAAAAGAAACAAATTCATACAAAAGAAAGAAAATGAATTATAATTTTTTGAAACAAAAAATGAAAGCAAATGTACCAGGTTTTATATGCTGCAAACATTCAGCATTTATAGTCTGAATGGTTTCATTTGTTAATGCACAGTGAAGCGATATAAGGTCACTTGCAGCCAGTAAATCATTAAGCGTATCCATTCGGCGGGCAGCAGGTGGGAATGCTATACAAGACACACTTACTTTTCCATTTTCCTGTGAAAAGAAGATTCGCAGGACATTTTATTCCAATTGAACATCAATTTAACAGAGTGAATGGAAAAAAATTAAAATGTTAACTAATATCTGCCTATCTTTTACCTCCACAATATCATAATAAAACACACTCATCTTGAAGGCTAAGCTTCTGGAGGCCAGAGATCGGGCCGACGCAGATCTACCAACAATTCCCAACACTAGCCCTCGGCACCGCCTCATTCCCCGACAAAGAGGCTGAACTGATCCAAGCCAACCGGAAGCGGATAGCGCGTGGCGAGAGAGCAAGTGCGTCCGACGGAGCAAGCCCAGAAACAGCGCCATGACAGTGTCCGCGATCTCCTCAACTCGAGAGGCATCGACATGGACGAGATGTAGCCCGAGGTCAGCGGCTAAGGAGGAGTCGACTGCTCGATCCGAGGAGCCGAGGCAGAGGATGAGGTGGTAAGGACGGAGGCGACGCTGGGCAGCTCGAGAGAGGTAGGAGAGTGAGTGGAGGAGGACAACGACGGCCGCCTCAATCTTGCCATCGTTTAAGCAGCTGAGGGGGACGTGGTGGACGAGCGCGACTCCGGCTAAGGACTCTTGTTCGAGGGAGCAATCTTCGATGCAGTTGAGGACCAAAGGGAGAGGCGCGGGGTTGTCGCGGTGACGCATTCCGGGAGACGATCTGAGCATAGACGACGTCGTAGCGGTGGTGGTGGTGATGTTCATCCTCGTATCCCTGCACTGACACTGATTGTGTGTAGGAGTGAGGGATAAAAAAATGTCTGCGTGGGGGTTACTGGTTAGGGGGGTTATGGGTGTAATTTCGGGGATTTTGAGGGCCTAAATGGGACTGCAAAAGTATCTAGTCGTGCTGTTGTTTGTTGTAGCTCCTCAGATTCTGGAAGAATTCCAAACCCCTTTCATTCGGGAGAGTATGACCGACTATTAATTTCCAAGTTTCAGTTTAAGTCCCTCTTTTTGGCAATTAGCATAGCAATTGGCATGAAATATTTTAAGTTCTATCGCATTCGTTATGCGATAGTTTAGGCTATGAAATTTATATATAAACATGGCCATTCAACTGCCGACGGCATTAGAGAAGGTGGTGGCAATTTCGGAACGAGAGCTTGTAAATCCCGACCATATTGTGGATGGTTATTCATGAAATGGTTGAAGTCAATAGAACAGGACAGTCAAACGATCGATTTCTCGTGATAAAAATGATACCGAATCATTAGTTTTGAAACATCAAGTGAGAAAAGATAGACTTACTCAAATATTAGTGACCATTTAGGTAATTAACCCTTTATTTATTTACTTATTTTTTTTGGAAGAGACTCTTGTATTTGGCTTGTTTTTCTGAATCGAATGGAAGAATTGCTAAAGTTTCATACAAAACATACAACTTCTATATTACCTACAAAAACAACAAGCATATGATCTTCCGACAGACCATCCACAAACCAACTGCTGAACAACTATATATATAAAAAACAGCTAAATTTACAATCCATAGTCCAGTAAGATGCGGAGGGATTGAAGACGTAAATACTATTGCCGTGAGCCGATACTCGAGAGCAACTTCACATCTCAAGCAACAAATTTCTGGCCTGCAAACTTGACACCTTCCAGACTGCTATCAAAATACTGGAATATATCCTTTTTCCTTTATAAATGAAGAGATCTGTCTTAGAAAAACCTCCTCCTGATATTCCGAGTAGTTACTTGATACGATCGCATAAGCAGTCCAACTCCGACCCCAACCCCAAGGCACACTCCGAGGCCGATTCCAACACCAACTCTGACTCCGGCATTGAACCATGAAAGTTGGCCATCCTCACCGGCATACATTTCTTCGGCGTACTGACTCTGTCCAATTTTCCCATAGGAGTCGTAGTCTCCACCATCGGCATCTGTAAGCTGTACACCACTACAAGTATAAACAAATTGGCTTGCAAGAAAAAATAAAATGGAAGCTATTACGTATTTGAATGAACACACTAAAGAAGCACATTTCATTATTCCCATTGTTATTTTGAAGTTCGTAGTTACAGAGCTGTGTCATCGTAACAGGTAGATGTTGCTCTTATGTCTGCAGAACTTTACAAGATTATATTTTTCACCCCGAAAGTGAATCTAGGAGACAAAATTTGAATGGGAAAATATAGAAATTAGATTACGCAGCATAGTTGACAATACCCAAAATCAAGCCAATAAGCGGCCAGCAACACCTTAATATTCTTCTACCATTCTTGAATCGACATTCACTTTATTAATAGTGATTCATATTTTAAAATGTTGAGAATAAAACCAATTATAATTCACCTGCAATTTCCGGTGTCTAATGAACCCATCGCCGCCCTTATCGTTCCCTTTCCCGAGCTCGTCGTCCTCGGGGATTGCATCCAACATCCAGTTAAACCTCGATACGCCATTCTTCTGAGGGATCATAAGTAGAGTCTTAGTCAATATAACCGGCGTACCAGCACAACACCCCGCGATATAAACTTCAATACCCGCCGCGGAAACACCCATCTCGGGCTGAAAAAAAGCCGATTTCCCAAGCTCCGTAGCCGCTGCCGCCTGATAACAGTCCATGCTCCACTCTCCTTCCATCCTTTCCAACGACCCACACAACAACACTTTCTTTTCATCCTCGTAGGCCTCGAATTCAACCCCGCCCGTGACGCGGACGCTATTGGTGCTCAAATAAGTGACCTCGGACGCTTCCCGGTTGATACGATAGCGCCGAAGGGTAATGACCGCGGAATCGGAGGCCGGCACACGAGAGCCATTGATCTCGAGGGAGACACCGATCTCACGGGGGATGTGGCAGAGAGTGAGGTGGTCGGGAACGCTGTCGACAAGGCACGGCGCGATTCGAACGTAAAAGAGGCGGATTTCGAGCCATACCGAGGAATGGTTTATGAGATAGTAGGAATTCGAGGTTTTCTGAGCTAGAATCGATGAAAGATCATGCGGTCTATGATCCATGGAGTAAGTTTAAGAGAGGAGGGAGAAAGATAGAGGGAAATTATTGGGAATATCGAAAGATGGAAATTTTAGGGATAACCATGAAGACAACAAAAATTGGAATGCCAAAGAAGCGAGATCTGATTGGGTAAATTTCAGGGTTTGGGATTATATATATTTTTATTTTTAGAATTTATTTAGGGGATTTGTTATGAATGTGAAGTTAATAATTTGGCAATGGCAGTGGGCAGGAGTAAAAGAGGGAAGCGAGTCAAATAGAGGAACCGTCTGTTCCTCTGCCTCAGGGAAGCTTTGACGGAGAGGTGAGAGACAAATGGGTTGAAGACACGTGTGTTTCACTTGGACAGGATCATAGACGGTTTTATAATTATTGATTGCTTTATCGGTTTTGTTAATATATCCGATAAAACGTTTCTGATTTTATTAATTTTCTACTGATTTTATTATTATTTAACATTTTTCCAGAAATATTAAAAAATATTAATATTTTAAGTAAAAATAATAATTTTTTATATAATTTTTTATCAATTTTACTAAAAAATAATAAAAAACAGATAACACCATTTATTAACCTTATATTAAAGTTGTCTCCCGTAATATTTCACACTTTATTATTTTGACGGAATCTAATGGGAAAAAAGAATCGGTGGAATCTCAAAAAGAATAATAATTATTTTAAGGGTAAATTACTGAAAAGATAACTTTAGTTTAGTAAGCATTCACTCTTGGTCATTGAATTAAAAAAAAGTAATATTTTATTCGTTTACATTGTCGTTTTATAATATTTTGGGTCAATGAGACATTAAATGTCATTAGCCTATATACGTGGTACATTAATTAAAATAAATTAATTTTAATTTAACTAATAAAATTTAGTTAAAATATTAATTTAAATTTTAAATTTTACATAAAATATCATTTCAATATTTGAGACTTTTTAGATAAAATATTAATTTAACTCTTGAATTTAATCAATTTTAATTGTAGTCAATTATTGTCGCTGACGACCGTGGAATCCAAAATTTTTAATTTATTATTTTAGTCGATAAATATAATGTTTGTTTCATCGACTATAATTTTTATGTTTCTCGCTCTCTCCACTCTTACAAAGCAAGTTTTCCACTCATGCATTCGAGGGGAAAGGAGTTGATTATTATTTTTATTAAGTTAAGGTGATTATAAAATAGTATTTGTATAAATAATTTTAATCATTTGACAATAAATATAACAATCACTCTACTATAATCGTTGATATTCTAACTCTTATATCTGGTAACAATAACGATTAATCATTATAATTCTTTAATCATTTAGCTAATATAATTCTTTTAATCAATTAATCAGGGAATTGATTGATTTGACTGCTCAAATTTTCCCATATTAGTGGGACTGTAAGCTTTCAACAAGCCAGCCGCCCACGCTTATCATTATAGATTTAGAGGAATACAAATCTACGTGATGGCTACTGATATGAAATGAAAGGAGGCTACTGGCATAAATCTCGCTGCTGTCGTGGGACCATAGCAAACATATAAGAAATTAGGGTAAATTATAAATTTGACAACTAATTTTTTATATAATTTTTATTTTACTCAGTGTACTTTCGAAATTTTAGATTTACTCATTTAACTTTATAAATTAAGGTTTTTTAGCACTCTGCTATTAAATTTCTCACGCCGTACATTCAAAAATTTCAATTTTTCTCACGGTGAAAAATGATGTTATGATATTGGCTACCTGCGTTGCCATCACGGTTGCTTGCGACTATTGATGTTGCTGCTGCAACAGATGAATTAATTAGTCGGCAATGTGGAAATATCTGGTTGTAATTGACGATGGATATTTTACCTTTAGGCGAAGGGCAGCCTGCCACTGGGAATTTGTGTGTTTGACAGTGACAATGTTGTCATCGAAAGGCTTTAGTAAGGAAGACTAGGATGTTCTACCATGTCAGCAATTTTCGATATTCCCAATGTGAAGGGTTACGGGACTGTTTTTGGGATATCCACGGAAACATGCCAGATGTGAATGGTAGCCATCGCCAGTCATCCTTTACTGTACTTCTGCTGACCGTGCTCTTTTTGAATCTTCACCTACCTCCCCCGCCAACCAAAAATCTTCCACCACTGTATTTGATTATCAGATGCACAAGGGAATTGCGGCTCAAAAGCTCTGAATAATAAGCCTGTAGCCAAAGATGGGTCCTCTAGAATTTGCTTTACGCAAACATATATCTTAATTGTGATTACACCAAACCTCAAGGGAACTTTATGATTATACAGTCTGTTTTCGATGTTTCATGATATTTTCATTAATCTCCACGATTCAAATTAAGTAGATTCATAAAAAAAAATCTAACCGCTTTTTTCTTCCTTCTCTCTTTTTCCTTTTTTTTTTAACAATGGGTCAATTTTATTGATAATATAAATTTTTTAGTTTTATTTAACTGACGGCGACACCGGTTTTAATGTTGGTTGTTGTTCGTTGGTTTTTTTTTTAAATTTTTTTTAATAAGAATAATTATATCTTTGTGATATGTTATCTGATTTATGACACATTTATCTTTGCCTTTGTGGCATATTTTTTCTCTACCTTTTGGTAGCTTACGGTTTTTTGCTGTTGTTTTTGTTTATCTTTTTTCTCAGGTTAGATTTGACATCGTCATGACTAATCGAGATGACACTTGTTTGTTATCATGATGATTTTCTAAGTCGTTTGACTCTGATTTGCGATTTGTCGGTGGTCTTTCAGTAGCTTCATCCCATTTTGTGGTTGTTTACTGATACAATCAGATTTGTTCATATCTTTATTTTATTCGAGTTTTTTTGTTAGGTTTTTTTTAACCTTTTCCTTATTTGGTCATTTTGTGATCTATGTAGCTAGTTTTTGTTTCAGCGGTAATAGGAAATGTCATAATTATATTTTATGTTTACAGTTATGCTTATAAATTTTTAAATTTTAGATATTTTTTATTTTTAATAAAACTAGCCACTTTCTATCCTAAAGAAAAAAACTGGAAATGATTTTCAAGAAAACGCACGAGGCCGCAGCAGAAATAGAGTCCAGCCCAGCATTGTTGGAGACGTAGAGACGTGCGCATGCTGAGGAGAGTAAAAAAATAATACCAATCCACAGCAAGCCGTTTCTCCTCCGTCGAAAGGACGAATATCCAATGTTTGAATTCAGCTCGCATTGTACTTTTGACTTTATTACATTGTCTCTACTTATCAAATTCTCTTTGCTTCCTTATTCTTAGTAATTTTCTCGTTCTTATCTTGTTAATGATGTAAATTTATGATTTTTTTTTTATTATCAAGGATCTCTAAATTACATAATTTATCGTAACCCCTGATAACGATAAGGATGCTGTCCTTTTAGAGTATCCGGTGTCGTTTAAATCATGAGATTTTTGCTTTCCATCTTTTAAGAGAATTTCAAAAACACCTCGATTGAGGGGAGCATGACCTTGGATTGCGTCTACTTATTATGACTTACGTGGATGTCGACCAGCTGTGAAACTTCTCCCAATTGGACAAAGATTCAAGAGGGATCCAGTTGAAGGATTTGAAAACTTAGAGGCTTTGATTAGCAAAATGAATAATAGTTAGGATGGTCTCATGATCTCCATAATAAAGGGTCCACGAGTAAAAGATACTACCAATTGAATTAATAAAAATACATTATTATTTTATGTTCATTTTCAAGACAACGATATTTTTTTTTAATATGATGCAAGTGTAAGGTATTGTCTATTCAAAGATAATTCTAAATTCATAGTACTCGAACTCAAATCCTTAAGGAATAACAACAATTCATTTACCACATAGGTCACTTGATTCGTGTTCAATGCAATAAAATTTAAATAAGATAATTGAACTTATCAAATGGTTCCAGTGATTAAAGGGAGTGATGTTATTATCCTTAGAGATCTTAAATTCAAGTAGTTTCATTTGTAATATGTATATACATTATTAATAATTAAGAAAAATTATAAATAGATACCACTTTATAATTACTCTAAATTATTCAAAAATAAATAAATAAGATAACACATTAATAATATTATCGATATAATGCTCTAACAATATTATATGTTGTTAATTCGTATTATTAACCCATACATGTTTGGTGACATTTAGGGATGGTAATTTAATCTGAAACTGATGGGTTTCGATTGACCTAATCTGATATGGTAAGTTTTTTTAGAAAGAATTTAGGTTCAGGGTTTGGGTCAAATTTTTTAAGGGGTGAGGTCGGGTTCGGGAAGAGGGTAAAAAAATCTGACTAGACTTAATTCGGGGATAATGTTGTAATTTATTTAAAAAATATTATTTTTAAATTAAATTCTTATTTTATATCAAGTATGGTCAGATTTATACTCTAAAAATCCGGATCATATCGAAATCATATGGCTGATATATATATTTTGGGTAGGATTAGATTCAAATGAAGGATATATATTTTTGAATTGAGTCGAATTTAGGTGGAAAATACATATTTTCAAATCAAATCAGATTAATCAAAAATCGGACCCTAACCTAACTCACCCGTTGTGATCCAGTGACACTCCCCTTAGATTTGAAATCCAAATTTTTTTCTTATGGACAATAATAGTATCGAATATAAATATTAACCTCCTAGTTAGGGATGAAAAAACAAATTAACAATACAAGCTGGACGGCAAACAGAAGGACACGCAAGTCAAGATTTCGTCCCGTCTTTAATGTGCTATTCGGTGGGTTCTAAACTCGTCTGATATGCATATGCACCGGTGTCATTTATTGAATAGAAGGATTGAAGATGCAAACAACTGCAGAATATGGTACGGACATACTGCTGGCCGTGGGGGCAGGTTGTCTCTCGCCTTCCAAGAAATAACTTGTGTGTTTGGTGCACAAAATCAAAATATTTCAATCACAATTAACGTGGACCAATCCACATCTCCCACTTGTCTCAATGTCACAACTTAGTAACCTGCCTTTTTTTTTTCCTTTTTGCGTTACTGATATACGTGTGTATATATACCGTAATTATCAGGGTTTTTTTTTTATATTTGGAATTTTGTATAGCGAGCAAGAATTAGGTTTTTTCCCACTAAGTTGAAAACCTCTCCTTTATACAAGTAACACCTGGACCAAATT